GGCTGGAGCCCCAGCGCACGGGCAGCTCTGGACATGCTGGGTCCAGCCTCTGAGCAACTCAGGCTGGGGTGGCGCGTCCCTGCTGAGGCCCCAGCTGCTACTGCACACACAGGTACGGTCTCTGGCTTTGCCAGTAGGACGGGGTGGGGCTGAAATCTGTACTTGGAACCCAGGAGCAATGGCCGACGGGCACGGCGCAGCGGGAACGACTCTGGGAACAGAAATGGTCCCGCATGGGCTCCCGCAGCCCCCCCTCGGGCAGTGCAGACCTGCAGCAGCAAGGGGGAATTCTGCTCCCCCGGAGCTTTGGGGCCACACCGCAGGGCTCACTGGAGGGAGGCTGTAGAGCAAGGTGCCGGACTGGAGCCTCTCGAGGGCTGGCACGATCCCGGAAGGGCTCCCCGCCCCAGGCACAGCCAGGCTGCGCCAGAGCTGCCCCCAGAGGCTCCCTGCACTGGACCCCTCTGCAGGCAGCACCTGGCCAGCTCAGGTGACCTAGTCTGGACTCTAGCCCCATGGCCAACCCCACCCGGAGGGCCAGCTCCATGGGCCCCTCAGCGGGGGCGGGAGCCATTTTCAGCTGCCTCCTGCGATTCTAGGGTGACAAGGGTGGGGCTGGATGCCACAACCCAGGATCCAGAGTGACTGCCCCAGGGAGCCTCAGATTAGCAGCGCTCCAGCTGTACGCAGGCAGCTCAGCCGGCCCCCACCCTCCCCACTGCTTGGCTGCCGGCATGGGGAGCGGCAGCGAAAGCACGGACACCACGCAGGGCTCGCACGCTAGAGGCAGAGTTTATTACACTACGCAGGCTAAGAACCCCGGGCAAGATCCCATGGCGGTAAGAACTCCAACCAGCTCTTTATCAAAAACTGAACACCATTGTCAACTCCAGTCTCCTTTGGTCGGTACAAAGCAAGAGAGCTAGTCAAAGGGAGGGATTTATACACAGTGGGAAGCTGAAGAAATTCCGTCTGTCCCTGCCCACCCCACACAGCCGCACACGTGCAGTGCCCTTTGGCCGCCAGGAGCAGCAAAGTATCACATCTTCACAAGACGGCAGGCCTGGGCCTTTAGTATTTCCGAGAGAAGCCACTGCTGCCCCAGCCCAGGGAGCACGGAGGGTAACGGGCCCCCTCTGCCCTCCAGTGTAGGGGGTGACTGGGAGTGGGTGAGCCGTGGCCAGCGCAGACACAGTGTGACTGGCGCAGTGACGCGTCTCTGATCCCTCATTTGTACGCAGCAGTCTTTAAAAAAAATATCGTGTTAGATTCATCTGCATTTCTCCTCCCAGCGGGTCTGGGAAAGTGTCAATCGTCCGTGAGGTCCTGAACAAAGAGAACTTCCGTGTGGCTGAGTCCCGCCTCCTGCAGCGTGGGGGGGTTGGGCCACTCCACTGTCGGGAGGCAGGGCAGGACGCGGCGGGGGAAGTTGGCCTCGATCTGGAACTTCTCGGGGCTCTCTTTCAAGGAGAACAGGAAGTCGTGGATCACCTGGAAGGGAAGGCAGAGGTGTTTGAGGATGGAAAACAGCGCACAGGGATTCAGGGGAGCTGCTCCAAGGCCCCGCTAGTCTCTTAGCGGTCAGCAAGAGAACCACAGCATGAATCCTGCACAGGCCACCGAACCAGGCCGCCCACTAGGGACAGCTGGTTGGTTTCTCAAGACCCTGCCTAAAGCATGCCAGAGGCTTGTCTCCACGCTGCTGGGGAATCCGGAGCACAGGCCCCCCAGCCCCTGGACGGAGCAGAAAGCCCAGGGTTAGGAGGGGATTAGCAGGATTTCACCTTCCACCTGGTCTAGGACTCTTCTCTCGCTTCCCTGCCAGCCGGCCCCTCCCCCATGCAAGCACATCCCCTCTGCCTCCTGAGGCCTAGCAAGGGTGCCTGGCAGCCCTGAGCATGGCCACTCCCCAGCGGGCCAGCCCCTCACCGTTAGCGACTGGGTGAAATGGAATCGCCTCTCCACTCTGGAATCGTTGGGCAGCTTGAAGATGATCTTCACGCTCTCTGGGTCGTCGGGGTGCGGCTCCGGGGGGAGGCACTCCGACCGGCGCACCTTCTCCTCCTGCAGAGTCTGGAGAGCAAGGAGGAGCTCAGCACCGGGGCCAGCCCGGAGGGGGACGTACGAGGCAGGTGCAGGACTATGCGAACTCAGTGCCTGACGGAAGCACCGGGCAGGTGGGGCAGGGAGGGAGGCAGGCGCCGTCTCTCCTCTGCTAGCTTTTGCTGCTGCACCTCCTCTTCCCTCCTCTTCTTCCTCTCCCGCTCCTCCTTCTTCTTGCGCTCCTTTTCCTGGTCCGCCCGCAGGGAAGCCAGGTACGCCTCGTCCTGCTGCTGCCTCAGGACCTGGGTTTGGTTCCTCTCTTCCCTGCAATGCCAGGGAACGAGGGCTGGTTAATAGCAGCATGCCCAGAAGGTAGGCAGGCCAGGGGGAGCACAGCAGTGCCTGCCGCACGGACACCTGCTCCAGCGAGGGGCACATAAGGTGCCCCGCTCCTGAAGCGGGGGCTGGGCTCAACAGGACTGGATCCCGGCCCAGACAGCGATTGAAGGCTCGAACAGAAGGCACAAAGGGCCGCAGTGTGGGCAGGGCCAGGCACACGCTGCACAGAACGCCTACCACAGGCCTGAGCGCTGAAGGGCCCGCGCCGCGGGGGCGGGGAGCGAGACGCAGCTGGGCCCACGTCGGTGCCGGGACAGGGGGGCGCCAGCAGGACTCCACAGCCCAGCCACGCGGAGATCCAAGGCCCAGCTGCTCCCTGGAAGTGCCCCACGTTACTCAGCTTTGAGCAGGGAGTCCCCCATTCCCAGAATGCAGCGCGGCCTGAGCCACGCCAGCACCTGCACTAGCCACCGAACGCCCTGCCGCTCGCCCCCCCCAGCTCCACGGCGTGGCGGGCCCCGCGTCCCAGCCCAGTACCTCTCCATGCGCTCTGACACCAAGTACGTCTGGTTGGCATCCATGAGGAAGGTCAGCTGATTGATGAGGTCATCAGGCTGGATGAGGCCCTCTAGACGTCCCACCACCGTCATCCTGCGATCTTTCAGCATGATCATGGCCAGGAACGGGTAGGTGTTCTCACGCAGTGCCTGGGACACTGGGGCACCGACAGACCCATCGGCACTGGCTCTCCAAGAGAGGGGCCAAGGGGTCCCGGGAACAGAACCGCCTCGCTCCGGCTCTCCTGCCAGTCCTTCAGACACCAGGGGGCCAGCCCACTAGTGCGACCCAGCAAAGCTAAGCCACTCTCGGCCAGACAGAGCTGCTCCTCCTGAGACACCTCCCGGGCCGCCGCCGCTCACTCTGGGCCACTAAGGGCCTGAGCTGCCACACGAGCCACTTGCTCAGCCGCTGGGAGCGGACATGCATTGAGCACACCCCTCGCAGGCACCCCAAGGGGCGGGCCCCCACTTCTCGGGAGGTGCCTGTAGGTGGCAGGCTGCAAGGCCTGGCGCTGGACTAGCACGAGAGGAGAACCCCAAAGAAAGCATCTGTGGCCATTCTGTCCCCGGGCACACCACAAACCACTGTCACCAGGCACCGGCTTCCCCACTCGGCCCAAGGCCCCCTGACAAGGCCTCTACAGAGAGCCAGCGTTGCCAGGTAGCTCTGCCGACACGACCGGCAACCGCCAGCACGAGAGGGGTCTCTGGGCTGCAACGCTCCTCACCGAGATGGCAGGGCCTCTGCGCTACAGAACGAGGCCGGGAGCAGCGCGCTAAGGTGGCCCAGGCTTGTCAGCCCAGCACCTCCGCCCGGCACAGAACACGCTGTCTGCAGTGCCCGCCGTGGGCTCAGCAGGGGGCGCTCACCTCTATAGCCCTCTGGCTTGTTGGTGGAGCATGCCCAGAAAAGCATCCGAGTGTTGATGAGGGTGATCACCTCTGGGGCGCACAGGGTGGTGCTGAGGAAGAGAAGAGAGCACAGGCATGGAGCGGCGTCCCACGCCCCCAGACAGTCACCAGAGAACTCTCGCCAACCTACCGACAGAATTCGTCTGAGTCTTGGTGCTCGTCCCCGTGAAGATAAACCAACAGGAAGCGCAGCTCCCGCTTGGCATCGTTCAGCGCCTTGGGAGGGGCAGGGAAAGCGGAGTTAGAGGGGCACAGGCACTCTGCTAACACACCGGAGCCCCTCACACCAGGGTGCCTGGCCGGGCCCCAGCAGGCAGGAGCAGGGCAAAGCACTGCACACCTCAGGCACCTCGACACAGCAGGGCCAAGCCGGAGAAGCTACGCAACCCGAGCGGCATCAATTGCGTAGCTCAGCGCAAACAGCCGGTCTGGGCCTTTGGCGCCGTGTGCACAGCAGTTATTTCGAGAGCGCGCTCTCCCATAGGAACGGCCAGACTGGGGCAGACCAAAGGTCCATCTAGCCCAGCAGCCTGTCTGCCGACAGTGGCCAGCGCCAGGTGCCCCGGAGGGGGTGGACCGAAGACAATGATCAAGTGATATGTCTCCTGCCATCCCTCTCCAGCCTCGGACTAACAGAGGCCAGGGGCACCATTCCTACCCTCTGGCTAATCGCCTTGTATGGACCTAACCTCCCCTGACTCCCTTGCTCCTCGTGCAACTAGGGTGACGGAATCGGAGCGAGCAGCCCACTATTGCAAAGTAACAGGCTTGCTGTGTAGACGCGCACGATGTTATTCCGAAGTAACGCTGCAGTGCAGACAGCCCGAGTGACCTGGGAGGGCTCCCACGGCCCAGAATCACGGGTGGCGTTTAGCTCCATTTTCCAGTCTGGATGATGTAGCTCCAACCTTCAGCCACATCTACTGAAATACGCTACTGAGCTGATCCATCACCAGGACCCTCCCCTCTCAGCTGAACCACTTCGCTTCCCTAGTTGCCTGATTCCACCACAAGCCCGGCCATGGCGGAGGGACTGACTGGCCGAGTCGCTGAGAGCCCCCTGCCCTGGCAAGCTAGGCTTGGATTCTGCGGGAGAGATGACCTCAGGCCGACTACTGCTGAGGGAGAAACCGGGGCAGCGGAGCTCTCTGGCACTCTGCTGCCTGCAGCGATGGCCTGCCACAGAGGGTGGGGGAAGGAGACATGCTAGGGAGCCTCTCCTCTTCCGGGAGGAATGGGCACCAAATCTAGCAAAGCTGGATCTGTTCTCTCCTTTTAGCCCCTTCCCCGAGTTTCTGAAGTTACAAGGCTAAACCCTGCCCAGACATGCACCTCCAGTGGGCTGCGCCTCAGGACGGACGTCGGCCCCATGGCAGCCTGTAAACCAACACTAGCCGAATGAAAGACGGGGCGTGGGCTTCCAGAGCACAGCGACAGCCGAGGAACGGCCAGAGCAGCTTCACCTTCCCAGCTCCAGTTCAGCATGTGGCTGAGCCTGGCAGGGACCCCACCAGGGCAGATGCCTTCGTGGGACGGACCTAGCACTCTGTAATCACGGGCTCCATTTCCTCATCACGGAGTCTGAGCATTAGTACTGGACTTTGCACGTGCAAAATGGCTTTGGCATTCCTCTTCAGGCCAGTGCGCCAGGCAAGAGCAGCACGACTCTCCCACGTACCTCTGCATCAACACGCCGTACTGACCTGGCTGTACGTCCCCCGGTAGAAGACAGGGTGTATCCGCCCATACTTTTCCTCAAACACGTGGATAAACGAAACAATATCACGCACTGGGTCCGTGACCCTACTGCGCGGGTCAGCGCGTATAAAACTCAGAGCAAACCTAGGAGAAAAGCAAACGACGCTGGAAATTCAGCTTATTGACTTTCCGAAGAACGCCCTTCGACCAACACGTCCAGCTCTCTGTATCACACCTGACCACCCGACCTGAAAGCAGTGCCCAACCCCTGTGTCTGTACAGAGCCTAGCACCACGGAGCTGTGAACACTGCTCTCTTCTACCTCCCGCTGCTCAGAGCTGGCAAACAGGAGACTTGTAGACAGACCGCGTCAGCCACGTCCAGTATTCATAGGAGCCCAAAGCGACAGACTCTCTCCCCTAAATGCCAAGGCCAGGCAGGGGAAGGACACTGAGAGGGGGCACAGTTAACTCCCTGCTAGTGCTGGCCGGCCAGAAGGGAGCAGGAAGGAGGTGGGCCATGACTCTCCCGTGCCACAGGCTCACTTGCTATGCCCCAGGGAGCTTCGGGAAGCACGCTGCCTCCTCGACTCGCCGTGCCTCCAACGCTGCCTCTGGCTAGCGTGTCACTTCCACATGCTCGCTGCCATGGCGTCTGCAGGGGCACGTAGCCCCTCCCAGTGCTGTGTCTATCTGCCCTCGCAGGAGGAGCTCTTTGAACCCACCAGTACCCCACTGACCACTGCAGAAGCACCCTCCAGAAAAAAATCGAAGGCAGGTAAAGTTCCATGCTCGGCGGCATGAGCTGATTGCCAGAGGTCAGGGCATTTCCTCACCTGCACTCCCGCCGCAAACAGCGCTGCCCAGAGGTAGCGAGTGAGCACATGTGGATGGGTCAACGCTCGGATAAGCCACAGCCAGAGACGAGATACCAGATTTAAGGGATCATTCGTCCTAGACTGGCTGGCAATTCACAGGGAGCTGGTCGGACCAGTCTCTCCAGAAACGCAGTTCTGGTGCCCAGAGGGTCTAAGGCACAACTGTCCTTTTTAGGGCGCTGCTGGAAGAGGCGATTATACCAGGGAACCAACACTGCGATAAGAACAGAATTACAGCCTCTTGTCTGTGTCTCGGCTCTTGAGACTCAGCTGGGAAGCAGGGACAGTATTGCCCTACACACTTGTCCTCAAGAGACATTCCTAAGTGTGTCCATTCTTTGTTCGGTCTCCACTGTTAGGAACTGCAAGTGTCAGCCGGACTGAGTTAATACCCGTGTTTCCTTCACAGATTCATAAGACACTGGTAGAAATAAAATCATAAAGCTGTAGGACTCAAAGGGGCCTCAGGAGTCACCAAATCCTACCTCAGCACAGCAGGCTGGACCATCTCTGGCAAGAGTTTTTCCAACTTGTTTTTAAAAACCTCCAGCGCCTATTCCAGAATTTAACCCCCCTTGGAGTTAAAAAGGTTTTCCTAATTTCTAACCTGAATCTTCCTTGCTGCCAATTAAGCCCAACACTCGTGGTCCTACCTTCAGTGGACGTGGGGGAGCAATTGACCCCTCCTTTCTTTATAACAGCTGTTAACATGCATGAAGACTTATCAGGTGTCCCACTCTTTTCTCAAGTCTGAACAGGCCCAGTGTTTTAAAACTTACACACAGGTCAGGTTTTCTAAACCTTCTATTGTGTCTCTTGCTCTCCTCTAGACTTGCTCCAATTTGCCTGCAGTTTGCTCCTGAAGCGTGGCACCCACAAACAGGTACAGGACTCCAGCTGAGCAGAATGGGACGGTTACCTGCCCGTAGGACACTTCTGTGACTACAGCCCAGAATGTTAACTTTCACACAGCTGACTCATCTTCAACTTGTGATCCACTAGAGCTCCATGTACTTTCCAGCAATGCCAGCACCTAGACAATTATTCCTCATTTTCCTCCCTAAAGGCTACCTTTCCTGGCTTTCATCTCGTTGAACTCAGACCAGTTCTCCAATCTGCCAAGATCATTTTCCACTCTAATCCCGCCTCCCTAAGTACTTGAAACCCCTCCCAGCATACACTTATCTGCACATGTCAAACACAAACTCTCCCACTTCATTATCTATGAACATGAATGAAAATATTGAACAGTATCAGATCCAGGAATGACCCCACTGGGATCCAGCTAGATAACCCCTCAGTTTAGTTAACAAAGGTTCACTGTCACTCTGAGTACGGCTTTTCCACCCGTTATGCACCCACTTTGTACTCATTTAAATCAAGACACATTTTCCTAGTTTGCGTAGTATGAGACTCATGTGCGACTGTCAAAAGCCTTACTAAAATCAAGACATATAATATCTACTGTTTTCCCCCATCCACTAAGCCAGTAACCCTGCGGAAGGAATGAACTAGGTTGGTTTGGTGTGATTTGTTCTTGATAAACCCATGTAGGCTATTCCTTATCCTGTTATCTTAGCGCTCACAAAACGATTGTGTCAGAATTTGTTCCAGTATCTTTCCAGGCACTGAAGTTAACTGGTCTATAATTCTCTGGGTTCCCCTTCGCTGGCTCTTGTGACCTCACCCGCCCTCCATTTTCTGCTATAGAACATTCATATGTTACTAACCACTATATTCTAGCTCTCCAAGACACAGAAACCACGCAACGCTACCGAGAACTTTGGATGTGTAAGTAACTATTTGATTACTAGAAAACCTGATGTCTTATTAGGCTTAACAGAAAATTCCATCCAAAAGCAGTGCAGCCATACTGGAGTTAGATTTTGTATTGCCACAATCAATAAACCAGCACAGAAAAGTACTTACCTAAATATATCAAGTAATGTGTAATAGGTAAATCGGAATGGAAGCATTATCAAATAGTAACCCCATCCTAACAGGCCCTGAAATTACAAACAGATTGTTAGGTATTTATCCCTGCCCACATTCATGCAAACGTTCCTCTCTCCAGCATCAAACACACTGCCAACCATGTGAAAGACTGTGTAGCCCAGTGCTGTGAATTCAGACAACCCAAATTTTCGAACAGCCACCAACAGGTTTCTCACTTGGAGAGCACAACCTGAGACATTTAGGCATCCGAAAGCCAGTGGCACAGGGATGTTAAATATCGGTTAACTGAATAGTTGAGTAATCTCATGAATTCTTATCGGTTACTTGACTATTCTATAGTACCCAGGGGCGGGGCCGGCAGCCAGCGCACTATGGCCCCACTCTGAGCTACTGCCTCTGTATCAGAGGCAGCAGCATGGGGCGCCAGTCAGGAGCTGGTCCACAAGGGGAGCCAGTTTAAAAACCAGCTCCCCTTGTGGACAGGCTGCCTGTCACCCAGTGCCACTGCCTCTGATACAGACAGAGCAGTGCAGGGTAGCAGCAGCCCCCGGCTGCGGGGGGGGGGGGAGAAGACACAGTGGTGGTGTCTGAGCTTCCAGACCCGGCACAAGCCAATAAACTTTAAA